ACGTTATAGTCGAGTTAATTCACCTGGATAACCTCACCAGGCTGATAGTCGCAGCCTCTGGAACAGCCCCTCCCAGAGAGAGACATGGCACCCACTCTCTTGGGGTTCAGGGCCGAGATTGGTGGGGAGCCCCCTGCTGTGTTTTTCATTGCTGTGGTGGTTTTTCTCCCCTGGTGGGGTCTGTTACGTTTTTAATATTTTAAAATTGTATTTGGATATTGTAAGCCACTGAGACTCCTCTGGAGTGGCACGATCTATGGAGAAGGACTTAAAAGTGTACGTATTTTGCTTTACAAATAGTATCCCTTTTCCATCTTAATACCTAATTATTTGCAACGGAAGTTAGACTTATGATGTAATGAGGAGCATTGATCTGAAAATTTATGTTTTCAAACACCAAGGTAATTTTTGTGTTTGACGGGGGTAATGGAATAAAACAATGCATGACAACATAAGTTGCAGACATAAAACATAAAAAATTGCAGACATAAAACATAAAAAGTCCCAGTTGAATGCTTCAATCCCTCAATTGTAACTTTTAACTTTAAGCCATTGCCTTCTTCCAGAATGTTCTTTTCTTTAAAAAAAGAAAACAAAAACCCTTAACAATCTAGCCTATAAACCTGGGATTTCTAGATAGTCTCCATCTGACCAGCCTTTCAAAATGAAACATTAAAGTAACTATTACTTTTGTTTTCAGGGATACAAGAAAAGGTTGAGAGAGCTGTTTGAAGAAGGCTCCCTTTTGAAATCAACAAGAGACAAAAAAGAGAAGGACACTCAACTTCGACCTTTGGAATTTGACTCCGTAGAAAAGTGCAGCAAGGTACAGGATCTCTTCGAACTGTCCCCTGTGGTGGACTGGGTCCTGCCCCCTTCCTGTTTCAGAGGCAGTGATTGTAGGCTGTCCAATTAATCCATGTAGGACATCAGTGGAAATGGTCCAATTGAAAGTTGTCCGGCTAAGGCCCAGGACTGCCTTGCTAAGGAGGGCTGAATTCAAGATAATCTTCTTTGAAAAATAAGGCAGACAATTTTTTTGAATTCACAGCTTCTTCACTTTACTGTTTCGTATCTCTTGGACTTTGTATAAATCTATTCTGTTTTTGTGGTAAAATCAATGTGAAGTTATTCTTCTTTTTTTCCCTAGGAGTATAAGCGACTTTCTAATGATCTGCAGAAATTGTCAGATTTACTAACCCAGCATGGAATTGCACATGAAACCGTCCTATGTAAGTTTGTGAAATAATTTCCCTTCTGAAGAAACGCCTCGCTTAATGACTACCACATTTAGCCATTGTCCGGTTACAACAGCACTGAAAAAGTCACTTTGCGACTGGTCCTCCCCACAGTCCTGTGATTGAGACTCAGGGTCCCCCGGCTGCCTTTTGCCTGCTTCACAGCTGGTTTCCAACAAGCAAAGTTAATGGAGAAGCCAGGGGTAAAATAGCAAGTCAGGGTCCTGTGCTGTCTCACTTAACGAGCCACGGGAACTCTCTTAATGACTGTGGGATAAGTGAGGTTGTAGGTCCATCCGTAGCATATGATAGTATCTTACTATCCATATCACTTAGTGACAATTTCCAATCCCAGTCATGGTCGTTAAGTGAGGATTACCTGTACTGATAAAGCAGTGATAAATTTCATTTTCCAAAACCAGGAAAATTCAGTGGAACAAAATATCAGCTAGAATTTTGGAAGTCTTAAAATTATTTCATGTTGGTTCAAGCACTAGAAATCTGAAATTTAAATTTGATGCTGTAATTGAAGTTAGTTGTAGAGCTGGAAGGGACCATGAAAATCAATTCAGCCTTCTGCAATGTGAAGGAAATGTATTTATTCTACTTCTTCTTAAAACTTTCTAGAGGTGGAAAACCCATAAACCATAAGCACCCAGCACTTCCATTGTTGCATAGGACATTTTTCCTTATACCTAAATGAAATCCAGGTCACTGCAATTTATATCCACAGTTTCTGGTTTCAGTTTCTATGGTTGATGGGACAGAGTTCTTTGTAAAATAGTAATTTTAGTAAAGATTATGACAAGTAGAATAAAAATAGAAAAGAATAAAAAATGTAGAAAGGGCAGTAAAGAAAGGAAAAAGGGAAATAGAAAAGAAAGAAAAATAAGAAATGCCTGTGGCATATCATAGATGGCACTAGCAGGAGATACTAAATTAGTATAACACAATATAAATTAGTATAACACAATAAAATATAAATGTTAAAAAGATCTGTGTTCAAATACCAATGTCTAGGCCAGGGGTGTCCAACCTTGGCAACTTTAAGACTTGTGGACTTCAACTTCCAGAGTTCCTCAGCCAGCAAAGCTGGCTCTGGCTCCCAGCAGAACTCTGGGAGTTGAAGTCCACAAGTCTTAAAGTTGCCAAGGTTGGACACCCCTGGTCTAGGCCATCTAGGCATTGAGGCAGGAGTATTAGATACGCTCAACGTACTTGAGATATATATCATAAAAAAGGCAGGATAAAAAGCTAATACTAATGAAGTAATCGTAGTAATTTCCACGTGTTGAATAAGCAGTGAGCCTGCCGTCTCCTTTGCCTTCTGATATAGTGGAAGAAATCCTTGCTGGGTTTTGCTTCGCTTCCTTGCCCGGTTTATTTCCCCCTTTTCCTTTCCTGTTTGAGGTGAAGCATTGTGTTCCCTGGAGCCTCCTTGAATGGGGAGCTGCCTTTTCAGCCACATGGGCCCCTTCAGGCATCTCCTGGTTTTCTTCTTCATTGATAGTGCTTGAGACCTTGCTATCTTTACTTGACTTTTTAACAAGCCTCAGCTGACCCAAACAGACTTTTTACCACAATTAACTTTGACTTTTTTTGCAATTTTATTTTATTTTTAAACAAGTTAAAATACAAGTGCCACAATTTTTTAAAACAGAAACAAACAAAAACACAAAACAAACAACATTTTCAAAGGTGCTGACACTTTTCTCTAGAATTCTGAAGAGCTACTGCTAATCAGAAGGGATAAAGATGAATGGCTGTGGGAAGGAAGTATGTCTACTAGCCTCGCAAAGAGGACTGGGGTGACATGATAGCCGTCTTCCAACACTTGAGGACCTGTCACAGAGAAGAGGGGTGGACCCCTTCTCCACAGAACCAGAGGGCAGGCAGAAGAGGAGGACAACGGGACAGCTTGCCTTCAGAGATCGTGGGAGCTCCATCACTCATCCCCGGAGGCGTTTAAGGACAGCATACGGTCTGGTCTGCTGCCCGAGCAGGGTCTAGATCCCCTTTCAACTCTGCCAATATTCTATGACTTCTAAGATCGATTGTCATTGTATAAAGTAAATAGTTTTTCCCCCCTATGTTCTAGTTGGAAACAGAGATGGCAACCGTACTACGCAAGCACTCGGGATAAAGAAGTCAGATCTTGGCACGATTTCAAATGCTAACAAGCATGGAGATGCTGAACCTCGGCACAATGCCTTGTGAGAAAATGGTCATCTTTTCCCAGCTTCGGTAAAGTATTTCCATCCACATACAAGTTTTAATAATTTGATAGAAGACCTAACAATATTATTTTCTTCAAACCAGCATTTATTCAGTTCTATCCATTTGGAATTCTTTTCATTATTGTGCTGGAAGGAAAATGGGGAGATCAGTCATGGGCAATTTCTACATGGGCAACTTCCTTAAACCGTCTTCTTTCCCTCCCTATAACAGAGCACCTTGGTTGGGTGTGCGAGGACAGCAAACGATGGCTTGACCCCATTCCTTTGTGGATAACCACAACTGGAGCCCCATCCAGGCACTACGAACAGCAAGAGCAGGATTGAGAGTCTCACATGCTCAACTCGCACACGGGTGCTACAGTGGCCCTTCTTTTCTCAGTGGGAGTTGGGAGAATATCTTGTCTTGGATCTTTGAATAAAATTACAGAGTTATAACAATAGTGTACCTTCTGTGCCTGTTGCTGACTTTCCTTCTGGACCACGAGAAAGAGATTTGCTAGTATTCATTTTGTGTAAAACTACTTCAAGTTTTAATCTGAGTTACTAACATGGTTTCATATACCAAAATGTTTCTTGACTGGATCCTGCTTTGATGTAGAGAAATGTTGGTGTTGCCAGCTCTGGAAGGTTATAATAAAGCTCCGTGTGCGGAGATGGAAGGAGTTGGAATCAATGCTGTCAGCTTCTAGGATGAAATGGTCTCTGCCAGAGGTTCCCAACTCCCGGACCGAGACAGGTCTGTGGCTTGTTAGGAACCAGGCCGCACAGCTGGAGATGAGGGACAGGCAAGGGAAGCTCCAGCCCTGTATTTGCAACCACTCCCCAGCGCCAGCATCACTGCCTCAGCTCATCAGGCTCTCATTGGAGCACAAACCCTACTGTATGTGAACTGTGCATGTGAGGGATGTCGGTTGCGCACTCCTCCCCACCCACAGGTCCGTGGGGAAAAAAAAAAAGACGGGGGAATGGAAGAGGTTGGAGGGCGGTGTGGGGGCCAAGCCAATGAATGCATCAGTCAAGCAGAAGGCCAGCCTAAACCAGCTGAGAACTTCTAATTGGACACCGACTGATCACGAGGTTGGCCAGGGGAGAAAGTTGATGGCATCTTTTGTGCCAAGCAGGCAGGTTCCACTTCGCTCCTCCTGCTTTCAGTGAAGTACGTAGTCTTGGGAAAGCAATGAGCCAGGAGTCTTTCCTACTCATTAAGTGGGATGGGTGACATTAAGCGGAACCTGCCCGGAGAACAGCTTCTACCAAGGTTATGCAAACGATGCCCGCTCACTGAAGGACGTCAGGGGGAGCCAGGATAGGGAGCCTCCCGCGACCATGGTGGGGAAGCCCCAACAGTCGTATCTTGAGGACCCCGGGTGTTTAAGCGGGCTGGGAACCAAACCTTTGTCCCAACTGTGCTGGAAATGGCTTTGTGCGTGACCCAGGGAACCCTCAATTCTGGCAACCACTCAAAGCTGTGAGGGCCCCCCCAAAGGCCCTTTCGACCCGGTTCCAATCCCACCCCACCCCTCCTCCTTCACAGGGCTGCATTTTGGGCGCTGAGTAACCAGCCTGCATTTATGGCCATCCGCAGCGTCCCCCAATCACGTGGCTGCGATGTATATTTTGATGAAAATAGGTGTTTGCTCTTCTGGTTTGGGCCAAAAGTGCCCCATAGTGGACAATGGGTCGTAGAATGAGGTCAGTCACATGACGGCCCTCTTTACAACTTCACAACTGATTTGGGCAAAAGAGCCGTTTGTCTGAGATAATCTGGGGATTCCCCTTTCCAACCCCAGGATTTTAATCATTTGGACAAGAAAACAAGGAGAACCAGGCAGGGCCTCGCTACCGACGGGACGAGAGTTTTAATGGGCACAAAGGGAAGCCGATGCCGGCAGCTAGGACCCCTCTCTCCCCCTGAAAGGGGGCCTGGGGAAGCAACGGCAGCCCAGGTGCCACCAATTGCTTAACTTCCCCTCCCCCAACTGGGCCCTGCATTGAAGGAAAGGTGAGAGACAAGAAAAGCAATAGAGCTGGAGGAGGTTTTATTGCTGGCCCCAAATCTCCCCCTTTGGGGAAAAGCATCAGACCTCTTCCAATGTTTATAGGGAGACAAAGGCCGTCTGAGGCAGGGAAGGGCCTCTGCCCACACAAGCAGAACCTCCAACCACTGAACTCCGGAGACAACCCATTTCCCGCTGGCCTGCTAGCCTATTGGAAAGGGAGCTGCTGATGATGCAGGTTTTGCTCTCAACGCCTTTGGGGATCAGCCCCCAAGGCCTCCTGGAGCTTGGCTTCAAGCCCACCTGCACCTGCCCTATTGGCTTTCCTCTGGAGACCAAGGGATCCCCAGCTCCTGCAAGACCAAACCCTCCACAGGAGTCGCAAATCACCCCCACGGGTGGAAGTGCACCGCAGGCGCATTTCATGGACCTCCACCGGGACACCAGGGGCCTCGGGGACACGAATGTCAGGTGGCTGAGTTTCCTTCTGCCATTTCAAGCCAACCATCATAAGCCTGAGCTTCCTTCACTTTAAAAAGCTTAAATTACAGAACTGGTGGGTGGGAGAAGCCGCCAGAGTCGTGCGTCAGGCCAGCAGCCTTCAAGGGGGCACAAAGCTGCAACTTGGGCTCGTTTGTCTGAGAAGAGGCCGAAGTGGCTGCAGTTGGAGGCTGGGGCAGGAAACGGGCCCTGCTGTGCCCCGAGGGGTTGAGGCAGGGCAGCCTCGGCCCTACACGAACTCTGTGAAGTCGTCCACGGAGGAGATCAAGCGCTTCCTCTGCCCAGTCTCGTAGGTGGGGGCCGGGTCCTGGGGGACACGGGCGGAGGCTTTCGCAGGGACCGGGGGAGGGTGCACGCTGGGGAAGCCGGCCTCTTGGAACTGGGTTTCTTCTCGGATCTGGAAGAAGAAAGAGGTGCTGGTTGCAAAGGCACAGTCTCCATGGCAGCAGACCCTGCCCCCCCAAAGACCCGGCTGCTGCCCCACACCCGCTGGACTAGCCTGGTCTGTATGGCTCAGGCGCACAGTTTGCACGTACGGTTGGGTTTGCTCTCTGCATGCCATCCAGAGTCCCTGGTGCCAGATGGGCAGCCATAGAAATTATTTAAGTCAAGCCATCCACACTCCAAAGGCCTCTGCCTCCCACACAAGAGGTGCAAGTTGGGTGGCTGTTCAGGGCAGTATCTGAGCTGCCCAGGTTTGGGCTAAAAGTGAGCAAGTTCAGGATGGTGTTGCAGGAGATGTGGAAAGTCTGCTTCTCCCAGGACAGGTTTGCCTTTTTTGTGAGGAAACAAGACTCCACGGCTCCTCTACCTGCTTCAAACATCGGCGGCTTTATGGGGGCCCCTCCCTTACCCTGTGCCGGAGCCGCTTGATGTGGCGCAGCCGAGCGATCCACTTGGAGGGATAGGTGTCAGTGGGGTTGGAGCGGCTGTGATGCACCAGGGACGCCATCTGAGGAGGGAGGGAGGGAGGGAGGAAGCACACCTGAACGGAGAGCCCCTCCTGACTGCAGAATAAGCCAACCCGGCACCCTCTAACCTGACAAACGACCCAGGGCCACACAGAGTGGGGTGACAAGAGGAGCCAAGCTGGAGCTGCTCTGCAGGGAGTTCTGCTGGGTCAGCTGCCACAGGAACTTCGCTTCGAGGGCTCCCCCAGGTCTGGAAGGGGCTCCAGCTCCCGGCAGCAGATCTTGTGCTCAGGGCAACCCTAAAGTCTCCCTCGCCTTCCCCGCCAGAGGATCCCTCCGCTTACTCAATGCTGTTTGGAGGCTCTAGAGGGCAGAGGGGGAGGCCTTGGGGGACAGGAGGAAGAGCTGCTGCCACAGCAGCGGCCACACAAGAGACGCTTGGGCCAGGAAAGGAGCCCCTTCACAGAAGGCCAGAGAGAGGGAGAGGGAAGCCCATTCAGACCTTTTCTTTTTTTAGTAAAAGTCGTCTTGAGCTACACAGCCTCCGTTCCTGAGTCTGCTCTCCCTGTAGGGCAGGCAGAAGGGGAAGTACCCTCCCACCCAAAGGAGACTTACGTTGGCATGCAGCGCCATCTGCCGGGCAACAAAGGAAAGGTTTTTGTCTGAGACAATCTTCACCACACTCGTGTCAATCAGCCCCTCCATATCTGGGATGGCAGGGAGAGAGGAGATGGCCGGGTGAGAGCAGAAACCACACCCGCTCAACCCTCCAGCATGCACTACATTCCAGTCAACCAGCACCCATTCTTGGATCCCTGTATGAGGCCCAGAGCCTTTGCAACACACACACACACACACACACACACCACCTTTTGCAAAGTTGGATGAAGGGAGGGAGGCTGGCCATACCCTTACGGCACTGTAGAGTAAGCAGGTTGCAGTCATAATCCAGTGGTTTGATGATGACATGAACAAAGTTGAACTGGCCCTAGAAAGGCAAAACAGAATCAACACGGAGGAACCAGCCTTAAGGAGGACCACAAAACTTTGGTCTCTTCTACCTGAGCAGCCATCCCTTCTGTGTCGGGGCAACCTGCTTGGGAAAGCGATTCAGAACCCCGAGTGGGGAAGAGTCCAAAGGAAAAAAATCCCCCAGGGACATTTTCACTGACCTCACTCTCCGTGCAGAAGAGCCGTGATGGGCTCGGGGTCTTGCTGCCTCTCAGCCCAGAAGAGCAGAGGCAACCTGCGGGCTCCCCTCTTCATCCCCTCCCGCCCACCGACTGGCAGAAAGCCCCACCCAGAGGCGAGCCAATCGGAAAGCCACCAGCTGCCTACGTCCAATCGGTGTCCTTACCTTGATGGTCCCCAGTTTGAAGTCTTCCCCGGAATCATTGTAAATTATGGACACAAAGTCATTCCCCAAATGTCGTTTCTTGTCACAGCAATTTTTATCCAAATCTTTGGTGGGCATCAAAGTGGCAATATGGAAAATGGCTATAAAAACAAGAAGGGAGGAAAATGGCTGCAGACAGTTCAGATGCCTCAAGCGGCAAAAGAGATCACGCCTTGGGCAGCCCAACTTCAAACAAGGGGTTTAGGCAGCTCGCTGGATGGAGAGCAGCCGCCTCACTCCAGGAGCCAAACTCCACGCTTGGAGAAAAGGACTGGGTGCCACTAGAGGCTGAGAACTGGGAAAGGGCTTCGCTCAACCAAGGATCTTTCTGAGTTGATCAGAAGGGAAAGCAGAGTTTGAACTCGGAACCTCCCCAACCATCTCAAGGTCCAGTCACCCAACAAGCCTCAGGCTCCAAAGGGTTCCTCATCTGGGGCGTTCATGCCAGCTGAAGGCGGATGCTAACATCTGTCTGGCAACTCACAGCCTGGAGCATGGCATGAAGGGGCATTAGGGTGGCTGGTCCCCTTCGGGAGGGAATTGTTATGCTGCTGCTTCACTGCCTTGACTCCCACGTCGGTTCAGTTACACCCGGCAAGGACTGAATCCCAGAATCTGAAGAACCCAACTGCCCTCCGGGCTTCCAAACAGCTCCCGGGGGGGAGGCAGGAAGCTGCCTCCATCGCCTCCCATACCTTGCATGATGTCGTCATGCCAGCAGTAGGTGAACTGCCCGTCCTCTCCACACACGTCCAGGCCGCCCAGGTACACCTTGTCTGGCTGGCAGTCCTTCAGCTCGATGAGTTTGCCCAGGCCAGTCAGGAACTCTGTGTACCTGTAGGAGCCGTGCTCATTGGACAGGATGGCAGGCTCGTTGCTGCTCTGCGGGACAAGGAGGAAAGCAGGCCCTCAGAGGAACCCCCAGGCCACCCCCAGCGCTCCGTTTCTCAGTCTTTACTTCTGAAACCCCCCCCCCCCCCCCCCCGATTTCCTGACTGACGGTGTGCTCAACCGCAGCCAGGACTCCCGAGAGGGAGCTGCCCAGCGAGGCAGCCGACCCTTCCGAGGAAAGAGTGACCAGCTCTTCCAAAGAAGCCGCTGCCGCTGCTGCCGCTGCCAGAAATGGGACCCGGGAACACTCTGTTCCCAGGCGTGGCACACACACCTGTCCTTCTCCAACATACAAGACGGCAATCTTGTGCGTGTCATATGGAGGGATCTGATCTAGAAGCTGAATGGAGTTCTCAAAGGTCTAGGGATTAAGAGACAAGAGGGAGAGAAACACACGGGGTGTGGGTGTGGGTGTGTCAGGTTTTAACATAGTAAAACAAGGTCAGTTACAAACACACCTCCCAGGCCATTTTCTTGGAGACACAGGCAACTCCTCTCCCAGCACTGAGCTCCAGGGAGCCTCTCTTCTTCGCCTTCCTTGCAATTCTCAGGAAGCAGGGAAGCCACATGGGTCTAGTAGTCCAAAAGCCCAGAATCCCCTTCCACAGATACAATCCCAGGAGTGCCAGAGAAGCAGACCGGAGTCAGTCACAACATGTTCAAGCTCACCTCATTTGGCAGTAAAAGAGGCTTGTTCGATTCGTCACCAAAGAAAGGAGAATGATACAACTGCAGGAACACAAAGCTGAAGGGGGCAAAAAAAGAGAAAGAAAACCTATTTACCTGCATCAGCATTAAGGCCTTCATATCACCGTTCACTTATGGAAGACACAATAATCTAGGCTGAACGCTTTGATGTGAAAAAGGAAACGTTCTTTTGGGTTGTCTCCTCAAAACATTGCAAAGGCCAGGAAAAAGGACTATGAGACGGCAGCCACCCAGAATGTCCAGGCATGATCCTTCCCATTTTCAGACTGTCCAGAGGGGAGGAGGAAAAAACTGGCCATTCCTAAAGCGAGATGGGAGCCATTTCCCAGGTCTTCTTCCTGGCCTTTAGTCTTGAGGCACTGTTGTTATGGCTCTCCCCCCTGATCTCCCTGCCCCATTTCCCAGAGGAAACTGCCAACTGCTTCCAGGAAGGGCCCCTGGGGACCAGGCCTTGCCAAGGGGCCACTCAGCTCCTGCAGAAGCTCCCAGGGCTGGCCCTCCTGATCAACTCCAAGCGAGGCGGCTTGTCTTCTGCATGCCTTTTCTTGGGGGCTCCCGAGTCTGAGTTCAGTGGGCAGATAAAAACACGGCTATTTTGTTTCTTCAGCTGCTCAGAATCCCTGCCCTTCTAAACTCTATTCCAGACACTGAGGAAAGGTGTGTCCATGACCTACAAGGGCATGTGGGGAGAGACTGAAGTGAAGCGAAGCAAAACTGGGGCGGGGCCGATTGACACTGATCCACCCACCCACCCCCCACCTGCTGGGCCAAGACTTTTCCCGGGTATTTCTACCCATTTCAGGAGCTGCTGCTGCTGCTGCTGCTGCTGCTCACGCCTGCCGCTGCCTCGTGCAGTTCCCCGACTTCTCTCCTGGATTCTGGGAGAAGAGGCGCGTCCCGGAGGCGGCTCCGTGGGGGGAAGCGCCATTTCTACCATCCCCGTCCCTCACCTTGGGTTGATGCCTGGAACTTTCCCTGCATTGGAGGCCGCTGCTGGTCTTCCCTTGAAGAGGTCTCTCTCCATCCGCTTGCCCCTCCTGGAGGGGGCCGAGTCAGAGATGGTGTATCCCCGCGGCCGGTGCCCGGTTGGGGAGTGGGGAGAGGAGGCAGGGGCCGCCGCTGCCAGCCTCACCCCTCCAGGGCCCTGGTCCTCTTCCCCGGCGGCCTCTGCTTCCAGGTGCCCAGACTGAGACTTGGATTTGCCTTCGCTGCTGAGTTTCTGGGCCAGCTCCTCGCCACCCGGATCCTTGAGGGCTTCCTGAAGGGTCTGGAGCTCTGGGGAGGAGCTGGACTTGCTGAGGGTCTGGGAAGGCTGGAAAGAGAGGGCTTCGAAGGCCCGGCTCTCTTCCAGGTTCCTGGCCCTTTCGATGGGAATGCCGATGGCGGCCAGCTCTTCCGCTTGGGGGGCCTTCTCCTCGTGGCTGGAGACTGACAACGACTGCCGAGGGCGAGAAACAAACACCTGCTCAGGGCGGACGTGGAGGATCATCCCACCCCCAGGGCTGGCTATGGAAGGCCACCCAACCTCGACGGGGCCACGTCCTTGCTCTCTAAAGCAAGGCAGTCGAGGGGCAGCCCCGGTTGTGCCACCTGCAGGAGGAAGCACCGCCATCGCCCAGAAGGCCCTCCGACTCCTTGCTCAGGACAGGGGGACACAATTTCAGCCACCCGGGCAGCCAGCAGCTGCCCTGCCTCTACCCAGCCCAGAAAGCAAAGGGAGCTGGCCGTTGTTCTAGGCCATCAATATTCTGATCATTAGGATGCTCCTCCCAACAGGCACCTCAAATCTGCCTCCCAAAACGTGGCTGAACAATCCACAGCATCTTCCAAGGTGACTAAACTGACTTGCTCCATTAAGGAAAGGAAAATAATCCCATTTATTAGTAACTGGAAATCCCTCATGTACTTTTTTGCAAAAGTGGGAAGAAATGAACTTGTGATTTATGGGATGGACAATTACAAAAGGCAGACTGTGGAAAGAAGGAAATTATAATGCAATCTTAATGAGAGAACATAGAATAGAAATGCACTTATAGCCATTGTCAAGAAAAGCCCCGTCTTAATCATCTTTTTATCATTTGTCTTCCCCTTTTCTTTCTTCTCTATTCACTATTTTTCTTTATTTCTTTTCTAAAATGCGCATTGTTTTTATCTTGTGAAAACTTCTTTAATGAAAATGGTATTTTAAAAAATCCAAAAGAAGTTACAGTGGCTTCTCTTCTATTTGGGTCTTTCTTCTTTTCTACTGAGCTTTTTTTTACAGTGATTTCCCCCCCTGAAATTTCCCAACTATGACAACGATGAATCAACGGAGCATCTGGTCTCCTGGTGCTCCGTCACTGGAGGTTTTCAAGAAGAGATTGAACAGCCATTGGCCTGGGATGGACTGGGCCTCCAGCTCAAGCAGGGGGTTGGACTAGAAGACCTCCAAGGTCCCTACCAACCCTATTATTCCATACTCAGCAGAGGCATCTCCTTTCAAGGAACCGTTCTACCTGCCCTGTGGTTACTCTCCCTCCTGCAATCGAAAACTTGCAGATCCCCGGGAGTCTCTGGAGCGCTGTCTCTCCCACACCTTGATGGACCTCTTCCAGTCAGGAAGCCCCCTGGGCTGCTCTGCCTGATGGTCCTTACCCGACAATAGGCTCCTCGGCCTAACGTCTCCTCCCCCAGGCCCTGCCCCAAACACATGGGCTCGAAGTCTTCAATCTCCTGAGGTCCAGGCTGGAATTCCACTCCTTTCCCGTCTTCATCTGGGGGGCTGCCTTCTTCTGGTACGACTGCAGACTCTGTCAAGAGATACAAAGAGCCAGGAATGAGGGCGGAGAAGTATTTCCCGAGAGCAACTCCGGTGTTTTTCAAAGTACTTCCCTTCCACTTCACTGGGCGGCTGTTTTTTCAAACAAAAATTCAAACAAGCTAGCCTGGTGTTTTTCAACCTGGGCAACTTTAACTCTGGACTTCAACTCCCAGAATTCCCCAGCCTGTTCCTCCCACAGAGATCAAAGGAGCAAATGCAAAGTTAGTCCAATGTTGTTAACAACTTTGCCCAAAGTCTATCAGATATGGAATCTTGTTACGATGCTCTACGTACAAAGAGTCCCACTACACAGGCGATACTGTTCAGCTGCTTCATTCGTGGCCAAGTGGGAGTCAAACAAGAAGCTCATTGAGTTCCAACTCATTCTTGAGCGTTTTACTCTTTTTAGGGTTTCTTGGAAAATGCAGAGATGTGAAACAGAAACCATGATTTCTACACAAACATTATTAAGATGTCACTAGGTGTCAACAATACTGAACCCTTGAATCAACCATTAGAACTGGGGGGTGGAATGGGTGGATGGGTTTGTGGCCTGGCTGGATTATGGGGTGCTGGACAGCCCAAAGACAGTTTCTTTTTAAAGGTGGCTTTTAAAACTTATTTTTCTACCTTACCAGAATCAGCAACAGAGGGGGAAAACACTAGCCTTAGGGACATTGGTTGACGTTCAGAGTAGCCCATTTCAGAGTAGTTATTTCAGATTTAATGTTAAAACCACCTATCCTCACTTGCTAATGTGGTGATCTATTAAACTGTTCAAGCAGAAGACTTCTGGGCAACTTCACCAATGCCCCTGATTAAAATCCCTGGTTCTTTTTAGCAAATAGTATGTTTATCATATACTTCTATCCAATTGTCATATGCCTGATGATAATGAAGTATAACTGGGGCTGCTGACAAGGTGATGGGAAGGATAAGAGAGGTTTTGCACTGGTTTTGTGCTATTATTTTGAAGTAGCAGCAAAGGGCTTTGAAAAGAGCTTCCCGGGGCCTGGACATCCCATGGACATTGGTGGCTGCTTTTGCCCCGAGCAAGGGCCCCTGGCAGCTGCCTCTCTTCCAACTCCTTCGTCCATACTGGCACTCCCTGGCGTCCAGCCGTTACAGGGTGAGCTCCATAGCTTGAGACTGGAGCAGAGTCACTTGCAGAAGACGACCACAAGGAAGTACAACTGAACACGGCAGAAAACAGAAGGGAAGCTGAAGTGGTAAGAAAAGGTCAAAGGAACAGCAGGTTTTGTCCTTTAGAAGTTTTGAGCGACCAGCGACCAGAGGCTGCCTCTGCCTGGCCCACCTTTCTTCCCCTTCCTCCTTCCACTGGTTGATGAGAAAGAAAGACGGATGGCTGGAAGGACGGAGAAAAGCCCTCGGTATGAATCACAGGCATGCTTCCTTCCACACCAAGCTGCCTTTAAAAGCCAAGCCAAGCAGCAAACACCCTCCTTGAAAAGATGCAAATATACCTGCCCAGGAAATGCTCCTGTACAACCCTCCTTGAGAGCTGGTCAGGCCCATGGCAGAGAAAGAGGCCACTGTGGAGGGAAAACCAAGGGAGGAGCTACATCAAAAGGGAAGAGAGGAGAGACAGAGAGACAATATGGAGGGGAAAAAAATAACCGCAACCACAAATAAATATATAAAAGGCTCAGAAGCAGAGATGGAGGAATTGGAGCACTACAGTTTCTAATATTTTCTGCCTACCCTACAGTGGATGATTTAAAAAAGAAAAAAGGAAGGGGGAGTGAAATTATACACTAGTAAATAACTTTCTCTTACACAGGCGTCTTTCAAGATTTTCCCTATAAATTGTAATTTCCTGTTGGGAAAAACAGATTTAATTTTCCAGCATTTCAGGCTTATCAGACAATTATTTAGCTTTGATAATTCAGAATTCTAAATTTATTCCTTCTCTGAACTCTCTGACTCCTGTAAGGATTGTTACCCTTGTTTGAGAATCCTAAGTAGGCACTTAATGCTTAAATTAAATACTGAGTTATAGTTACCATTATGCGAGATAGTCAGTGTGAACATACAAAAATCCATAGATGTTAAGTAATTGTGACTTTTAAAACATTTCATAATGCTGCCATTTAGCATCAGCTCAGTTTTGGCAAAGCAGATATTAAAGGATTTGTGGAACTTAAAATCAATTTAATTTACCTCACGTAGACTGTAACATTTATTATACCACACAGGAAGTACAAATTTATACCTGATTCACTGCAATTAACTTTTAACTTAGTCACTTTTCTGAACTTGTTTTATGATATATTTTCTGGGGCCTTTTTCTACTATATTAACACAATGTGCAAGCGCACACACGCACAGACGCTCTCTTATGGGGTTTGCTAGTTACATATTATTTTTTTAAAAAGCCAGCACAAAGTACATTTTCATATGTACATTTTGTATCCTTTTGAGAAATTGAGAAAACAATTTCTTCTCAAATGCAATGTGTTTTTCCATAGCACATTTACTACAATTAATGTACCGGTCGGTCATTTCACATACACATTGTTGGACCTCATCAGATGGAAACCCTGCATCTTCGCACCTGGAAAAGCATCCATAGCGAAACATGCAGCATTCCCAGGGAATCGACAATTGTTCCCAAATGAAGTCGACCTGCATCACCACCCTCTTCTGGCTCCAGTGCAGGCGTTGTGCTTTTCCTGAAGAGAGGGAGGGGCACCTCATGGCCACAGGAGGCACAAGACCACCCCACTCACCCCCAGCTCAAGTGCATGAGAGGCGGACTGGCTTTTATGCCTAAGGCAGGGCTAGAACTCACCGTCTCCCCATTTCTAGCTAAACCAAATTAGCCCTTTAAATAGAATTAAAAAAAATAAAAATAAAGCAGACCTATCCTGGGACATTCCTGCACACCTTAGCAAAAGAAGCAAAGCGCTGAGAAAACGTTGAGTGGCTCTTCTTACAGGCATTGGAAGAGGAGAGCGGTGCTAATCCACGGTGACAAAACAAAACCAGCACTTGAGCTAATTCCTCAAGCTGCTTTGAGATGATTGCCACTGTCCTAAAGCCAGACCAAGAGTCTTGTCATCTTCTTCAGATGGGAGCAGATGAGAAGCCACACAGATGTGGAGGCTGCGCTGGCTGTCGGATTTCAAGGACAAGACAATGCTCCACACCGAGAACACATTTGCTGAAAGACTGGAGGTTTTTCCCCCATGTTGGAAAGCAGCAAAGGATTTGCCCGTGGCATCACTATTGCCCAAGGGACGCCCAGTTGGGGGTTTCTCTTGTGTCCCCGTGAAGCTGCCCATCGAAGTGATACCCATGTGTCGCCCACATCCAAACTACTGGCTTATAGCAGGAGCTGGAGCTTGTGATGGGAGCTCACCCCGCCCTGCAGCAGCAACAGGTCTCCAGCACGAGCCTGTCACCGATTAAGCCCGACCAGCGTTCTAACCTCCTGAGCCACCTTGACCATACAAGGGGAAACGAGGCACTGGACTGTCCATCCCCCAGTACGGAGACAGAAGCAGGGATACGGAGTGATATCCGCCCAGGGTCCGCTGGAGATAGCAAACCAGCACAGCTGCCCCTTCTCTCAGCTCCAGAGATGGCCAGTAATGGCGAAGGAAATTGCTGAAGGGCCAGGGGCACGAAGGAGACATCCTGGGGCTGAAATTGCTGCCAGCACTGCTGCCTTCCTGGAGGAAAGGAAGGTACCTCACTAGACCTGCGGCCAGTCCAGAACAGGCTCTGCTACCAAGGAGAGCTGGGCAGGTCCTGTTCTGCGACGGAGCCCGGAATGGAAGTTGAGCTTCATGGCAGCTGCAATGCAGGAGCACCAGACCTATCAGTCACAAAGGCTGAGGCTGCCCTGCCTGGCATCTATGGGATGAGTCATGCACTGGAAGCATCAGGAGGGACTTAATTGTCCTTCTTAAACTTTCTGGCTCTTCTGAATGCAGCTCTTTACTACAGGCCTTGCTACCAGTAGCAGCCCAACGCAAACATTAATGCGCCTCCTCAGAGGGGACAGGACTGGCATTCTGTAAGGCAGAGTTTCTCAGCCTCAGCAAGTTTAAGGTTTGTCGACTGCTGGCCACAAATGCTAGCTGGGGAATTCTGGGACTTGAATTCCACGCATCTTAAAAGTTGCCAAGGTAGAGGGGGTTCCGGTTTGTCAGGCTTTGGCGGCGGCAGGAATTCGCGATTGTGCGCAATCCCTGCTGCGCTCGCTGCTGGAGTGCCTCCGATCCAGCTGGATTTGGAGGCTATAGTTATCCCGTAGGGATAACTGAAGACAGGGGAGATTCGGGCAGGGGTCCGGGGGCATCGCAACCCCCTTCCTCAGCCGGCTTAACTCCCTTTTCCAAAGGCGGTGGAGCGGCGGTCAGCAATGGCCGCCACAAAGAACCTCTCAGCCGGACAAGTTTTGTGCAGGAGGAAGTGGAGAAAGTGAAAGTTTTTGGCTGAACTGGGACAATAAGTAACGTCTGAATACCCTGGAAATCTATCTCTCTAAAGGATACATTGTTTCCCAAGAAGATCGTAAAAAGCTGCGGATGAAAGTGAAAAGGGAACTTTTTTTTTTCTTCACTCTCCTTCCCTACGGAGATAGCAGATGGAAATCAGAAATACCCGCTTTGGCAACAGAAGGTAACTAATCTTGAAAATTAAAGCCAAGGGGACATTAAAGATTTCTGAACGTTGATATTTAAAAATCAAAATCTTTTTGCTATAAGTGGGAAGGGAGAGGTAAATGATTTATACCAAGATTTTGCTGGAGGAGACTGCTTGGAGCTTATAAGATCAGAGACTGAACTGCAATAAGACTTCTAAAAAATCATTTTGGAATTGTGTAATTGAACTCTATCCCAGGAAGAGAAAGTATTAAAAGAAGAAAGTGCTAAATGAAACAGTTTGTGTTGATTTTGATTGCTTGATGACTTTGGGACTTTTGCAAATTATCTTTTGAAAGATTCTATTTATCAGGAAATACAGCAACAAGAAAGCTGGGATGAAGAAGAAGAAGCCATCTTTAATGGACAAACAATTTTAGTTGATGAATAAAAGGGAAAAAGGGGAAAGAAAATGGAGAATTCAAGATCTAAAAAAACAACCAAGAAAGGGAAAAATAAGGTGAAAAATCGATATAATGTCAGAAAGCAACAGAAAAGAGGAATACAACAGAGAGGGGAGACTAAGCGGGCGGAGATTGAGAGATGGGGGGGGTAAAAAGACTAGATTCGACAAGAAAGGAAGGGAAAAAGGGAAGAGAAGTTATAAAGGCTTAAAACAAGATGTTAAAAAACGGGTTTTTTTAGAGACAAAGGGTAAAATACAATTTAAAAAGAGATTCTGCAAAAGTACATAAGATTGTATCGTAGTACTTGTATTTGAAATAGAGTTAGAAAATTGGAATATTATATGTGTTAATAGAATATTGTAGGGAATGTGTAAAATGTCTAAGATTTAATAATAGAGTTTAATTAATTAATTTGTTATGGAACATTGTTTTTACTATACTATAAGCTTATTATGTTTGTTATTTAAATGTTACCTAGAATGTACTAAGCAGAATCAGAATGCAAATTATGTATTACTTTAAGTGTTAAATTTGGGGGAAAGATAGAAAGGCGTCATACTTCAACCACTGATTACAGGAAAAATTTTGTATTAAAGAGAAAAGATAAATACACAATTGAAAAGGAACGGACAAAAGATACAAGTATAATGATTCAAATTGAGATGAAGTAAATAAAATAGAATTAAGAGAGTGAAAAGAGGGGAGAAGACATAGAGAAAATATAGAATGTTAAATAAGATATGAAATAATATATAAGGTGAGCATGAATTTGATTTATGTCTGTACAAAAAGATGTAACCCGGGGTTAAGCCGCTTTCTAAAAAGAAGTTTTATGTTTTCATGTTACGTGTTTTGTTTGTTTATGTTTGTTTATTGAGAATTAAGAATGTTGGATGAGAACATATGAAATCGTAAATAAGACAGATGAAAGTATAAGTTTAATGAATAAAATTGAATAGAAGTAAAGGGAAAAATAGTGAGAAATTGGAAAAAGAGTAATAAGATATGAAGTTGAATACATAAGATGCATATTAAATTGTGATTGTATGGAAATGTGATAATTTGGAACTATGCTGTACTTAAATAAGATGTTTTATTTGTTCTGTTAAAACTTAATAAGCAGTTTTTAGAAAAGATGTTTTATGTTCTTACGTTTTATGTTTTGTTTGTTTGTGTATTGTCTTTGAAAATCAATAAAATTTGTTTAAAAAAAAAAGTTGCTAAGGTAGAGAAACGCTGCTCTAATGGACTGGCACTAACAAAAGTACCGGCAAATGCGTGGCACAAGTAATGGTTGCTGAACACACTGGATTAAGAGTGTGCCAAAAATGGAAGACATGACCACAACAGACTCCTCAGCAAAGATCTGACAGCAGAGGTGAAACTTCACAGTGTGCCCTTCACAAAATAGACAGCAAAGTAGGAATCTTCTTCCACAATGGTGCAGCTTTCTGAAGAGAGACCAGTGAGCTGTAAACTCCCAAGAATTTCGTGTGAAATTACTGAGTAACCACATTAGAAGAGGAACAATTCTACATGCCAGCCCTGTGGCAGAATTACTGCAGCGTGCAAAATGTAAGCCCTGCTGCCCCTTGTTCCAAAGCAGACAGGCCCAGCAAAGCGATTCCAGGACTGAAGATTAGGACCCGGTTCCTGAGCCTGCCAAAGGCATTCTGTGCACGGAGGGGAGCCAAACCTCCTGAAGGCCTGCGCTCTGTCCTTCCAGGGCCGGAGGAGAACTGGTACCCTCCTGCAGGGTGCAATGACCGATGGTTGAAAGCTCCCTTTCTGCATCCTGCAGGAAGGAGGCGCACAGTGGGGAGGGGAGATCCTTTGGCAGGCAGCTCTTCCAACCAGCCCCTAAAGGGAAGAGGGGGCTGAAATCCAAGCAGAGAGGCAGTGCAGTCGGTTAAGGAGCCCCGGGGGGGGGGAGG